GAGAATTTATTGGAATTGAAAGTTTGAAATCTTGAAGAGATAGATGGATCGATCCTTTTTTTTTTGTTTTTTGTTTTGTTTTCTGCGTTTTTATTAAAAGTCAACAATGGTGAAAAGATTAAAAATGCAAAAACAACATTAAATTAAGAAAGAAAAAACCTGATCAAAATATAACTTTTAAATAAACAATTATGTGTGATAGCATGCACATGCATATAATAAATATACATTTATATATCGGAAATGACTTTCAAAAAAAAAAAAAAAAAAAAGGATGAAAGGAAAGAAAAAAAAAACGATATTTATATTGTGCTGATGGAAATACAGAAAAATAAATAGCATTTCAAAAATTATTTCAGAATAATATAGATTTGATATTTAAAATGCAGATTTAATGAAATTTGATAATTATAAACAATATAATGATTTATTCTCGGTAAACGATTACTGAATGCATTAATCCACAAATTTAATGAATGTATGCGATGTATGAAATTCTTGAAATGCCTTAATTAACAAATATTATTTGAAAAATACTTCATCAGACTATTTTAACATATCCTTTCGCATGCACTTATATAAATGGTTAATTATTTATCGTTATTGTTAACCATAATGCAAATTCTTATTAACTTTTTTCGTGTAACAATTTGATATATCCGTATAATATTTCAAAGAAATAATAAAAAATAAAACGATCAAATTACTTTAATTAACATAAAAATAAAAATATTTGGTTAAATATATAAAATTATCTAATATAACAAAGACTTTTTTTTCCCCACCATTTTGAAAGACTACAATAATTTTGCATTTTTTTCACTATTATTTATTTATTATTATTTCCTTTTTTCTTTCAATTATTAATGCATATAGTAAAGCTAGCAATAATTTCACTGCCAGTATTATCGATATTTCAATATCATTTCAACTTTTACACGTTAAAAAATTAACACCAAAAATGTTAACAACCAAATTGTGCAGCATTAGCAATGGAATGCTCACAAAGGAATAATGTAATAATAATAGTTCAAATTGATAATAAATTAATGTCTTTTATTTCAAATATATACCGGAAATGAAAGGAGAAAAAAGAGATTGAAATGTTCAAAATACTTTAAATAGTAGTATAGTTGTTCATTGTTGTAAATGTTATCGCAGTAGGAGCAGCTGTTATTTGTTGCTATTGTTTTATTGTAATAGTAATAGTAGTAGTAGTCGTCGTAGTAATATTAAGAATAACACCGTTGTGAAGTTGAAAATCAAAGGTTAAAGGTTGAGGAACATCTTTTGTAATTATATTGCTATATTTTTGATGGTATCACTTTCAAAACAATCATCGATTGTTAACATACACATGTACACACACATACACATACACACACACCTAATACACAAGCGTACAGAACATATATGTACACACACACATACGCAGCCAGGCAAACAGAATACATAATGGCAACAAGCAAGCAATAAACATTATATGGCATATAAAACATAGTAAGATCGGAATGGAAATTGGTCCTTAATTTAATTTTTAAATTTTAGAAGTTTTGAGAAACAATTTAAAAACAAAAATTCATACAATTGTAAATAGTTGAATGGTGAAAGGAAGGGAAGAAAAACGAATGAAGAAGAAAAAGGAAAAAAAAAAGGAAGAAAAGAGAGTGAAATGAAATTTTTGTTAACATTGAAAAGTTTAACACCTACAAACTCATATATATATACAAAGCAAACCGAAGTGATTTCAAGAAGAAGGAACGTCAATTTGTTTGTCCCCTTCAAAATTTTGTTAAAAAAAATTTTTTTTTAACAAAATTTCTATAGCAGACAAATGTGGTCGATGACAGTGCATCCATTTTGCTATGAGATTTTAACTAGTTAAAATACATACCGGAAAAAAAATAGTGAAAAGTTTTTTTTTTCCTTTTTTTTTACCTTAGTTTCAAAATTTAGTATAAAATTAGTTAGCTACAGACAGCGACACAAACACACATACAAAGAAATACAGACATACATAAATATATTAAATACCTATATATATAAGAGTAATATTATCTTTTATTACCAGTTACTACATACCGAGTTAATAAATGATAATGAGAAATTTATTTCTATTAAACGTACATATTCGTCCCTCTCTCTCCCTTTCTCTCTCCCTCCACCTCTCTCTCTCTCTCTCATCCGTATATGCCTCTCTATCCGTACGTGTAAATGTATTTATGTATTAAAGTATATTTATATATGCGCATATCCAATTTGATGCAATCAATGCTAATTAATAATTTTTTCAGGAAAAGATATGAATAAAATACTTAGGTAAGTCAAAATTTTTGTAAAAATAAAGCAAAAATACATCGATTCTTTCCACTTTTTTTATGTCATTATAAATAAATGAAAAAATTTGGTATCACTCACATTTTTGACCTATTTAACCTATAAGTTTTTCGTAACTTTTTGATCAGCTGTAAATTTCAGTTTCTTATTTTTACGTATTTTGTACCTTAAAGTATAACGTATACTTATGATGAAGATAAGAGACTTTTAAAAGATGAGAAGAGCAATAAATCTTACCGATTATTGATTCAAATTAACAATAACTGTTTTAAAGAGCTAAACTTAATGATGTTTGTTTACTACAAAACTATTTTGAACAGAATTAAAAATTTACAGTCTGAAGCTGGATAAATATAGTAGTAATATGAGGTGATAATATTTTTTGATATGTTTGATTGATAAGATTATCACTTTTATTATGATGTGGTGTATATAATGACAGCTAGTGATAATATAGTATGTCTGCGTACTGAAATTATGTATCATGGATAGTGATATAATGATAGCTGATATAAGGTAACTGTGATGATAAGATGGTGAGGGTGATATTAGTGACAAAGATAACAAACACTCGTCCCAAATATTTTACGTCAAATAAAATCAATGAAAAATTCAGAACTAAAAAATATTTGAAAACGATAAAAAATGAAAAATGATGATATCTTTTTTCGCTATTGAAATGCAACACATTATTTCAGAAGACAGATTTAAGATACACAGAACAAAATTATTATTTTTATCATTAATATGAAAAAGAATGAAAGAATATGACTACTGCTTTTTATAGTTATCATCTGCAATAATCACAGATCATTTGCATTAATCAAAATTTGCTAAGCACTTAGAACAAACTCTGGAAATCGACAAATTAACAAGAATAATGCCAATTATGTTGCCTGTAAATCATAAATGTCATGATTTGTCCTAATATCGTTAAGGATTCAGATAATATATTTCATATTTCTATGGATAAAAATTTGGAAAAAAAAACTAAAAATTGTTCTTACCAAAATTTAAAATACTGAAAAGAAAAGATCGACTGTGCAATGTAACATAAAATTGTTGGAAAAGAAAAAACGAAAAAAAAAACACAGGGTCGTCTTCGAGTATTTATCATTTTTTTTTTTTTAAAAAAAAGCTTTCTGACTGTTTCACAAATTAAAGCTATCAGTGAAATTTTTAATTCCTATTTTTTTTGTAAATAATTATCTCATTATCGCATGTATCAAATTTTATCAATTATCATATTCAAATAATTTGAAAATATTACACCACTAAAAATTTCCATATTCTAATTAAAATTTTAACTTTCTCATTTTTTTATTGTTAATTTCAATTAAAAGCACAACTATTGATGGATAATGGATGAAGCATTTTTAACAAATTTGTGAAATGGTAAAAAATTTTTTTCCTTATTCGATATTAATTTAATTTTATAACTTTAAATAAATACAAACTAGATGAATAATGAAAGGTTAGGGGAAAAATGAAAGAAGAAAGAAAAATTACTCAAGAACTAGTACAACTAAAAAATACTGATGTAAAGGATGATTTGTGGTAAGAAATCTCCAACATTCATTCACCTTTCATTCTAATGTTGTCATCTTTGATGAAGTGATCAAAAAAACAAAAATTTGACGTTTGTCAATTTTGAAAGAAAAAAACAACGCTATCAAACTACTTATATATATAATAGAAATGCAAATGCTACGTCATTATACGTAAACACTTGTTTTACCTTTTCCTTTAAACAACATATACTTACCTTCCCAAATCTCTTCATTGCCTCATTATTTTTTTGTCAAACAAATATTATTTTAACTTGGTAAATTAATATTAAATATATTAAGTTTTGGAAGAAAAAAATGACTTCGAAAAAAAAAAATCCTTGTAACAATAATTCCGATAGAAAATTATTAAATAACAAAATAAAATGAAATTATTTATTCTGAAATAATGACAACAGGAGGAAAGAAAAAAGAAAGATGTCGATATCAAACTATCCCTCTAGCAGTGAAAGTATAACTATTCACTTTTTTTCTTTCCTATGTTATTTATTATTCCTAACACTTCTTTTTAGCTTCTCAACTAATTATAACTAGTTAAGCAAAATTAATGATGAAACGAAAGAAAAACAGAGTAGAAAAGAAGAATAAAATGTTACAAAAATACATTAAATACAGAATTAATGCGAAAAACATGAAAACAAAACTTTAAATCATTTCCCACATTAAATTTGGAAAAATTTGTATTCGAAAAAAAAAAGAAACGAAATAACGAAATGGCTCATTTAATTATTTATCATTTAAATTAAAACACGTAAATTTCTTAAAACAAGAATATGTTGAAGTTGTCGAAGGTAAAACGAAATTTACTCTAGCGACACATTAATGGCAGTCGCTGTTTGTAGCAATAAAGCAGTAGTGCTCTATCAGAAGTTAAAAGCAATACTACAGTATATTATTAATAATTATTACCAATAATAATAATAACAATAATTAATAATAAACGATAGATAGTAGTAGCAGTAGCAGTAGTGGCAATGGTAGTAGTAAATAGTGGTAGCAGCGGTAATAAACGTAATGTAGTAGCAGTAATTGTAATATGTAGGTTGCAGCCTGAAGCAAAAACTGAACGTAGCCAATAAATCACTTTATTATATCCTACCGATAATATACTGTTACTGCTACCGTTGCTGCTACTGCTACTGCTGCTGCTACTGCCACTGCTACTGCTACTGCTACTGCTGCTGCTACTGCCACTGCTACTGCTACTGCTACTGCTGCCGCTACTGCCACTGCTACTGCTACTGCTACTGTTACTGCTACTGCCACTGCTACTGCTACTGCTACTGCTGCTGCTACTGCCACTGCTACTGCTACTGCTACTGCTATTGCTACTGCTACTGCCACTGCTACTGCTACTGCTACTGCTACTGCTACTGCTGCTGCTACTGCCACTGCTACTGCTACTGCTACTGCTATTGCTACTGCTACTGCTACTGCTACAATCATCGATGCAATGTTACGACATAACAAACAATTCCCTCCACGCTTTCATTGCAATTATTTCCACCCCTCCCTTTTCATTGATCATTGATCGATAGCGCATTCAAATAAACTAAACTTGGCATGGGTCCAGGCCACTGTTTCTTTTTTTTTCATCCTTCAATAAAAACATTTCTCTAACTCATGTTTGAAATTCGTAAACACATCATGTTGCTATTTCTATTAAAATTTGTCCAATAATTAGTAATTTTTCAATAGATTTGTCACAAAAAAAAAAAAAAAATAAATGGATAAATAATAAAGAATACAAAACGATAACAACGATAATATTATTGTGAAACATAGATATAATCCACTCCATAGATGGCATTATTTTGTAATATATAATAATATATTACATCATCAAACCTTTAAACCTTATGTATTTTATTCCTATAACTGTTTGAATTTAAACTAGATCTATTCTTTATGAAATGATTAATATGATGTTAGTTTTCGGTTAGCTATAATCAATACCAATTCTAGCAATTTTGGCAAACGTTACTTTTATGGCTTTTCACTATGATACATTTATTGAATGGTTCCAATACTTAGCCGAATAGGGTAGAACAAAAAAGTAAAAAAAAAATCGCTTTCAAATGTGATGCGCCAATAAATTCCATACTACCACAATAAGGATTCAATTAATTGGGCGATATGCTCACAATTTTTGTGCATACATAAACTTCACTGCTTAATTTTAAACAATATGCAATATTTACAATCCTTTCTTGTCCAATAATTCTCGGACCTGCAAGTGACAAAGATAACATAATTCAGCAATGGTAAAAGAAGACAATTTCAGCATAGAATTAAAACGTATGCATGGAAATTGATTAAAATATACCAATAGAAGTCAATTAATATGCGCCAATGGAAATGGATTAAAACGTACCCATGGAAAGTGAAATATACTCATGGAAACTGATTTAAATATATTAGTGAAAACTGACTAAAGTATATCAATGGAAATTAATTAAAACAAAGTCATGGAAGTTACTGAAAATACACATGTATAAGAACTGGATCTTCCCTGTTTTTTCTTTTGTTTAAATTTTGAAATGAAACGATTCTTAGCATCATGATTATATGAATGGTACATAATATCTTAGTTGTAATTCTAATTATCAGTTTCAAATTTAGCAACCAATCGATGGAAATTGTTGTTTCATTCAAAGTTTCTTAATGAACAAATATAAACAATGACAAATTGTAACAGAGTGACAAAAATTGGCCAAATGATGGATTTATTTGTTGTTTGTCAATACAAAACGACTTGATACGTTATTTTGTCTTCTTTTCATATCTCTCTCTTTTTTTTTTACCTCCCTCTCCTTTTCTTCTCCTCTTTTTCTTTCTTTTGCCTATTCGATAAGCAAAATTTCCTCACTTTTTTTGAAGCAAAAATAATTAGCACCTTTTGATTTCTTCCTAGTTTACTACTACTGACTATCAATCAACTCTTTCTTTCTTTTTCCCTCCTTCTCCCCCTTGCTCTATCCCGTCTCTCTCTTTCTATCTGCAACATAATCTTTTCGTTGCATTTGGAACAATGCATTTCTTTTTCACATTTCATCTATAATTTTTTTTTTCTTTTGAAAACAGATAAAAATAGGTCATTCCATATTCGCTTGATTACTCAATAAAGTTTGTTTCAACTCCTGGTGTTTCTAATGTGAATTTCTATTTATTAAAAATGTTTAAAATAAAAGTGAAAAAGAAATTCGGTGGTAGTTTATAATATGAGAAATATATCATTCTATTAATGCATCAATTTCCAAGTAAACTTTCATTCGTTAATTGAAATTTTAAACAGAAAGTAATATTAATGACATATTCAATTTTCAAATAAATGTATTATTTCTAGTATTTCATTAATATTAAAATCTTTTCATTTCATAAAAAATAATTCGCGCAAAAAAAGGAAAAAAAAAAGGAAAGAAAAAGATGCAAAAAATGAAAAATCCAACTTTATAAAATATTCAAATTTTTAACTCTGTTTAAACATCATCGAAAATTAGTAAACATTATCCCCAATTAAATTCCCCTTTTTGAACAAATATCATGAAATATTATGAAAACATGTAAATAGATTGATCAAAATACAATTGTAAATGATGGGAATTCATTAGTAAAAAGTAATTTCCCTACAATAATGTTAAATGTTTTCTGTGATTATAGATAAATAATAATGACGGCCTAGAAATCATCTGAAATATGCGAAATTTACTTTTGAACTTTCTAACGGTCATTATTAATTTGTATGTATTATTATCTAAAATTCTAGACGCAATTCAAAGTCAAATTTTTCATTGAAAAAAAAAAAACTTAATACATTTGTGTGAGTATTCTTGTCATTACGAAAGTTATGACTTTAAATTTAACCAAAATGTTAATTAAGAATGGAAGAAAATCACTGATCCGTAAAAAAAATCTTCAAGCATCTGTTAGGAACTATGATAGTAAAGTAACAATAAAACTATGATACATGCAAGAATTTCTATCTTTAATTTGTCTGTTAAATGAAATGTAGATTGAGCGGTACTAAAATCTTCAATCACTTATTTACCCTTTGACAAATCACTGATTTACTCTTTGACAGAATCTGCTGAACAACAAAGCTACTGTTAGTGCTATCCATTTTAAACCCATCGGACAGATTTACTTAATTCAAAGATCTACATGTCATAATTAATTCACCCAGACATTCAATAAGTCAGTGATATCTTGATAATAAAATGAAACACATATAGGCTACTCATAACAGTAACCACTCAAATCCTAACAGTTAAATTGTAGTTACGTGATTTCAGTGACAAAAAGAAAGAGAAGGAAAAAAAGATATTATCCGAAAATGTCGTAAAAAAAGATACATTTAAATTGCATTCAAATTCTAATACCATTGATAGATGTCATTGTCCAAATAATTTCGCATTTGTAACTAATCATGTCTAGATCATTTAAGCCATTATGCTAATTCCTTTTTCTCACACAACAAAAACCCTTTGTTAGCAAACCCCTTTTTAGCACAACCCTTTATTAGCAATCTTTGTTTCACATCATTTAAATGTCTTCTGCCGGATACCTGGTCAGTTCAGTTCTGCATATAAGCAGCCGTCTTCCATTACAGTTATTCATTCTTCATTTAGGAGTAGTTTTTGATATGATTTTAATTCTTATAATTATATTATGTCTTTCGTCACGCATTGTTGTGGTATTGATTTGTTGGTTTAATACCCAAGTTTGAGGCAAAATAAAATATCTGGCAGTCAATACATTCCACGACAAACCAATTGGGTGGCTATGTGATAAACAATTAAGATTATCATTATGTATGATTTTGGGCGGTCTGTTTATGTGGTATTACGTTTGAGCTAAATTTATCAATAATATGAATGAATTGTATTACATAATGTTTTCTGATCCAGAAATGATAAAAATGAATGTTAATAAGTTGGGAATCAGTCTAATTTTATATCTTGATAATAAATTGAAATAGTTATTCTAAGTTTTCAGCTGATAAATGTATCGTCAGTCTTTGACCATAAATTTCTTGCACATTATTGTTTCAATTGGCAAGTTTCATTATTGCTGAAAAACAAAATCAATAGTCTTAAACCGGAATGCATACAGAAATACGCTGAGAAATATTGACAGAAAATAGGAAGGAGAGAGAGAGAGACGATGGAAAAAAAATCGAAACATAAAATGACATTATGAGCCTTGTTTCGTTTTATGATGACAGAATAATTTGTTCATCATTTCTGTTATGATGCCTCTCGAACCAATAAATCATTTCATGCATTTCGCTTGCAGTAAACTGTTCAATTACATGTAACGTTACGTACGTATCTAAAAATTGCTATGGAAGCAAATTGTACTGCATATCGATTTGTATGTTTCACTTTGGTAAGATACAATGATAAGATCGGTTGTCTTATTCGAGAATAAAAATATTACTTCTTTCAAGCTCATCGTTGATGTTAAAAATAAGTTAAACAGTAATGAAAGAAAAAAGAAAGTTCATTTAATTAGATAATACTATGTTGAAAAAATATCAAAATGCTAATAGTATCATCAAAATATCTATTATATTTATTCAAAGTTGCTGAGTTTAATCTTTCAAGAAATAATAAGGTGTATTTATGCTACAGTGATAACATTTGAATTGTAGTTAAAATGTATTTTTGATGTAATTTACAACAATCATAATCTTATATGACGTAATGACGTAACATAAGATTATTAGATTAGCAAATACATTTGAATGTAGCAAAATGAATGCCAAATTTGGTTAGCGTACGTGATCATCCTAAAAACAGTTTTTTCTAAATATTTACAACAATTTTTCTTTTACTTATTAACAATTTATATATACAATAATTATCTTTATTTTCGTGTTTTCCAATATCGCTTACATTTCCGTGTGTTATTCTAATTTGCCATTCAGCCAGTTTGCACAAATTAGACCATTAAATTTTGAATTTTTCCTTTTTCTTTTTATTACAATAAAATACATCTGAAGATGCATCCTCCAAAGTTTAATTAATTGTTTTAAGTCCAAAATAAACTGATTTTTACCTCACCAATTGCTCATTTATACTGAATGATAATTATTGTAATCATTGATAATTTTAGGATAAAAACGAGAACAAAAAAAGTAAGTTTCGTTTTTTTTCCTCTTTTTTCTGTTAATTTGTTTTTTCCTTTTGTCTTCTTTTCAATTTGATTGTTTACTTCCATATTCCATTTTTAAAATACGATTTGTATATGATTCAAATTGTAAAGATAAAATTAAAAATAAAAATTTGCATACCTTTGAGAATCGTTTGTGTGTATATATGTGTGTATGCGTATATGTGTGTGTGTATATCTATGTGTATGCATGTATGTATGTGTGTGCATGTTTGCTTGCTTTCAAGCCTGTCAATTCATTATAACATTTAGCAAAAGCAAAGCAGGCATTCAGGATGATGCTACAACAGACCGGATCAGCATTTCATACCAACTAGCTCGTAAAGCTTTTAAATAGAGTTCTACACATAGGGTTGCCTGCTCTTCCTCTTTTCACCTTTTCATCCTTTATACTTTGTCAATTCCTTTCATTTTCATCATTCATTTACCATTTCATCTTTATTCATGTATTCCATATATTTGTCAAACAGAATTTCATCTTCAATACTTATTATTTGTTATTGTTATTTATTATTATTGCTGGTTACATTTATTTCGCAAAAGTATACCACAAAATAAATACATAATATAATAAAATTTTTGTTTTAATTACGTTTTCAGTATTTTAATAACAATTCAAGTATTTCCTTTCAAAAATTTAGCTAAAATTTTATTTTTAATAATTTTTCATTCATTTTCAATAATTCAAGAAAATATGGTGTGAAGAAGGTGTGATTGAAATATTTGATAATCACAGCAACTATTCTTATTTTCTATTGAATGAAACATTTATTTGGTGATATGGACGATAAGATTAGTGCAACATGTTGTAGTAGCAAAGTACCATCATTGAAATTCATCTCTACACGATTTATCGTTCTTCTGCTATTTCAGGTCAACTCATTATTATTGAAAGATATGAAATGTAACAAAAAACTGAACACAAGATTTTTTCTTTTAATCCTAACTTTAAAAATATCCATAATTTTTCATTTTGATTTTTTATTTTTAGACAAATGTTCATTGGAGAAAATTGGGTGAGGTGATTCAAATCATTCAAAGATGGCTTTACAAAGCAAATTTACCAGCATTAATTAAAAAGCAATTGCAGTGCGGATTGCGTGATGTTTACCGTGAAATTGAGCGTTGGAGTAAAATATTCTTTGTCTTATCATTTATTGCTACTATTATTATTACTATTAATTACTATTGTTTATCTTGGAAAAATTAAAAAATTAATTAATTTACTGTTTCGTTTCATTTTATTAAAAATTTATCAGATGAAAAACATGCAAAATTATTTGATGAGGACGAGAACGATGAAACAAGTGAAATATTACGTCAGCGGGTACATCGTAGCAGTCACTTACGATTATTTTATGGAAGCATTATTTGGAAATATAATAAGTACTGCTTTCATTTTCATTGAATGATCATCAGTGATTCATTTTTTTTTAAAGACCTATTAAATAAATCTTTTTAAAAATATTTGATACTTTATATCATTCATATATGAATGATAATATATTACCCCTACAACTGATTTCCATATAGAATAATATCATATGCGTATGCGTTCTGAAAAATTTAGTACGTATAAATTTACATATTTAGTACAAAAAATGACAATTATGATTGGATCAGGAATTTAAATATGAATAATTCAGGTACGAAATTAGTGATCAAAAGACAGCACTAGCAATTATTAAAAAGGATTGTGCCGATTGGCCTCAAATGCAATTTCAATTAGCTTGTGCTTATGCCATTCATCATTTATTAAATGAAAGAAATTTTGATCGTATCAGATTGAAAGCATTTGCGTGAGCGAAATATTATAATTCATTTTACACTTAAGTTTTTTCCCAATAAAAAAAAAAAAATCGTAATGGATTTCAAAAATCAGAAATAGATTTTAAATAAGTGAAAAAAATTAGTCCACTGTTTAATTGTTTAAACGACATAAACTTTTGAATATGTTTAAAGTAATACAATAATTGCATATTAACTATCATTTTTGTTCTTCACAATAAAAAAAAAAAGAGAAAGCAGGAACAAGCAGTTTTTCTCTTTCAGGAAAAAATTGTCCGGACATTGTTTGTATGATTTTTGGTTCGCATTACTTAACAATACTCATGCATGGAGTAAAATGCTTAATTCGGATAATTTACTACCAGGACAAACATTATCATTGACTTTTCAGTTTGCTATTGTACATGGTTATTTTGAGCTTGTTAGCTTCATATGGAATCATATTACGGATCCACAGAGAGAATTTATTGGTATTTCTTCATTAAAACCCATTGATATATATGTCTTTTTCCTTCTTCTCAAACATATAGAAAAATCAAAAAAAAAAAAAAGTTTTCTGATTTTAGTAAGCAATAATTATGAAAACTGAAAAGGAAGAAAGAAAGAAAAGAAAAACAAATTATAGGATTACTGCAATGGAGAAAAGTATGTTTCAAAGCGAAAGATCGTGAAGTGCTACATTTTCTATGCGAACAACTCTGCGCAATTAATGCAGCAGGTCTTGCTCGAATTACACGGAATACTTTTTATCAAACACTTCAAAATTCATTTCAGGTTGAATTATCAATAATTTCAAAACCATCATATTTTTTGCAATCAATTGAATTTTATTTTTTTCCTTTTTTGGATAAAATTAGAAAGCGAAATTTAAATATTAAATTGCAATGAAGGATATTTTCATTCGGAATATGAACTAAGCTATATTTGGCAATTATATACAGTATTTCACTTTATGGTTGGTTTAATTTTCAATATATTTTTGAGAATTTTGTCAATTTACATGACTCAGTGTCAAAATCTTCATAATTTATTAACTAAAGTTTTTCAATTTAGATATAATCTGACTGTACAATAAACAGAATAAAGAACATTATATTTGTAATTTCATTAATAGATCGTGGAAAAAAACAAAAGATAAAAGAAAGCTAAATTGAAATATTTAGGAAGATAACATAGGATTTCGTCAGGATGGTATGCATAAATTAGCGTTCTTCTTGGAGAATATTTGTCCACGGCTCCGTAGTGCGATGCTTTCCATGGAAAATTTCCGGTTTGCAAAATTACAACCACATAAACATTGAAAATATGCAGAAATTCTGCATAAATGAGATGCGTAGTAAAGTTCAAAAAAAAAGACAATAAGATGTGAAAAAATATGTGGACGTTTGTGAATAATAAAAAAGGAAGAAAGATTATTTGCAAAAGTTTCAGCTTCTTTTTTAATTTTAAAATTAATATCGGATTGATTTCAGAGCAATTACAGATGCATTTGTGTATAATCAAGCAGAGCTTTTTGCTCTCTTTTTGAATTACCTTGAACCAGAACAATTACAACTCACGCGTGAATATATTGATCGTATTTATGACCGAAAAAAAAATGAAACAGCCCATAAACAACTTCGAATATTGTTACGTCGACAAAAAACTCTAGCAAGAGAAACAATTCATACGAATGTTTCATTGTTAAATAATATAACAAATAATTAAGGCTATTATGTATTTATTTTACATAATATAATATATTCTTATATTTCATATGATTTTCTGATAATATTAATAATTATTTCCTATTTATTGTGTTTATATAACCTTGTTTAATTTGTATTATGTACATATTTGCAAATTTACTCGTAAACAACTGCATATGAGCGAAAATAAATAAACAAAGAGGTGTGAAGTTCACTGAATGTTGATAAATAACCAAACCTGCGTACTAATTAAATACAGGACGTATTGTCCAAGTAATAAGTGCTATTATTCCCAATGCTTTATTATTAAAAAGGTTACCATTTTTTTCTCTGGTAAAATTTAAGTGTGAAAAGCTAATGAAGGTATTGAAGTGTCACAGTCAGGGAGAAGAAAGCAATTGGATGAAATGTAATATATGCAGCTAACAATGACTGCAAGGTATTTTTAACAGGAATGTTTTTTGCTTTATTCCAGCAAGAAAGAATTGAAACAGAAAAGCAAGCGCAACAATTGAACTATTTTGGATAAGGAAGTTAGAGAAATTGATAACGAATTCAAACACGAAACTGTTCAGTAAACAAGCACAAAAGCATCGGTTTAAAAAGTTTAATTAAGAGGCTGCATTTTGATAAACAAATCGGTTAACAGACCATTTGACAAGTGTTAACTCATGTAAGAACACAAATAATGCATTTTCGGAAATGATTATGGAGAAGGTTGGAATCAAGAAAGAAACTGATATAACATGAAGTACCAGACGTCAGTAATCAAGATTTTTCAATTAAAAAAAAAAAAAGTCAGAAAGGAAAGAAAGAAGGTGAAGAATGATATCGATAAAGTGATCACTCCTGGTCTTCAAGTGAGAGATGCGTAATTTTAGTGAAATCAAATCCAGTGGTAGTACCACGTTGAAATATGTCTAAAACATCTTTACAGGTTGTCTCAAAATGGGTTGTTGGATCATAAGAACGTGAGATAAAGACTTGCGATTCAGCACCCATATCAATCGGCTCATAGACGTCCGAAACATTCACAAACCTGAAAACTCCTTGTGTATGCTGATATATTCCAAAAGTAATAGTTCCACTTGCATTCGTTACATGAACGAAGCTTATTAACCCTATATGAAACAAAGTTTGGGAGACAAAAGTGAACAAACTTCTCGGTAACTGGACCCAACAAATGCAGTCCTGGTAAAATTTCAGCTTCAGGATTATTTGTTTCCACAGTTGTTGAAACCATCGCAATATACCACCCATTAGGTGCCACCATATTTGCATTAGACACCAGAGAAATATAAATATCTGGAATATAATTCATAAATTCTATCATCAAGAAAATGCATAATATTTTTAAAGAAAAGAAGAAACATACAGAAAATTGTAAATGAAAACGGGAGATACCGCAATGGCGTCCAACTTGCTTCTGTGGAATAATTATCTGACAGCTTTGCGCATCGTTAGTATTCGGTATTGGATGGTTTAGAAGGCAAATGGCTCGAATAACTTGCCCAATTTTCCTCACTTTGTCAGGGACGTATGACGGATCACAATAGACCTATCAAATATCATTTTAAAATAATTTATAAAATATCATTATATTAAAAAAAAATATCGTAATTAAATAGCTAATAGCAACCTTCAAAAAATAAAATTAACTATTATATAAGTACCTGTTTACACTTCGCAATGTCATTACCACTTTTCACACCAACAACTTTCCCATTTTCATAAACTATACCGTCAACAGGTTTGTCAAGCATGTATGTTCCACCATAAATTGCACTCAATCTAAATTTGAAATTTTAGAAAGAATTAACATTCTTTTATGAAATACATCCTTTTTATGACTTCAAAATGTAGCAGTTATTAAAACAAATATTGATAAATAATTAAGGAATTCCATGCCGAGCGAATCCTTGTGGAAGTTCGCCAAGACCATAAAGGGGATACAGGTATGGCGATTTTCCATATCGAGCTAACGAATCGGAATACAAACGAATCCTTTCAGCTGTTGGCACAAATAATTCATTCTTGTAACTGAAAAATAAATTTTAATAATAACTTTACAGAGTCCAGTTCAATATATTTAGAAAAATTTTATGTAAAACATACTTGTCATCTCGATATAGTGCCAATGCATGACCAGTGAAATCCGCTGTATTTTCATCCAAACCGAACTTCTCATAAACCTGAAAAAAATTCTCAATAAAAATTACGTGAATTCGAATAGTTTAATAATGCTTTGTGATAATTTTTAAGATTTCAAAGCTTCCTGTCAAATTTACTCTCCAAGTTCTCCGAACAAAAGCAAATTTACCTCAAAAGTCAATGAACTTACTGTCATATTCCAACTGCAATCCAAATCACACATGAGAAGACTGATAAGCATAGTGAATGATCATTCAGAAAGGTTTCTCTAATACTGAAACAATGAAAACAACCTGCTGCATTGTAGTCACAACAGGATCAAAACCCTCGTACGTAGCCTTGTTATTGATGTCGAAATTTTGAACCCAAACGAGAAATTTTTTGAAACGTCTCTTTTCGAACATTCCCATCAAATCTGAAACAACGCATATTTTGTCTCAAAAACGTGACATGAAAAAAGAAGGCATCAAATACAGACCAAAACATACTTGTAGCTAAAGCTTCCATTTCATCAGCTGGAACTTTGAAAATTTTTCCACCTTTGTATACGTAAGACCCCTCAATAGACTTGAATTCAAGATAACGCGTCACGCCTGTGTGAATCAAAAGCTGTAATAGAACAAAACTGAAGGATAAGAAGAAACCAAGTTACAATCGCAAGTTATCATAACAAAATATTCTAGAATAAACCAAGAAAAAAAAAGCTGGAGAATTAACCTTAACAAGTGATCCATTTGCCATCAAGAATTTAGGAATTAGATCAACATTCCAATCCCGACCTCTTCCCATATCCGTAGACGGTTTCGCATTCGGTCCTAAAAATTCTATATATGATGAAATTCCTCGTGCCTTTTTGGATACGTATTCTGCAGGTTTTTACAGAAATTTGGAAAAATAATCTTAAAGAATTGTTTACCAAAAAATTTTTCATAAAGCTGTTCAAGTGGTGTAAGAGAAGCCGATTCACCACCATAATAATTGTTCCGATCAATATGAAGTATTTTCTTGCCTGACACCGATAACATTCCCGACAGTATACATTCCTAAAAACTATCACTTCTCAACTTCAATCAAATCGTTTTACAGTCATGCCTTGTTTATAAAGATGTTAACATTCCAAGGTATGACGTTTTCGGTTCCATACAATTCGGATATGAGTAAAATAAAACTGAAGCATAAAGTTGAAAGTACCTTCAGCCCTGTGCCAAGGACGATGGCATCGTATTCTTCATCCATATCGCTTGAACAAATAAGCTCACCTATAAATCAAATTTAGGATGTTACAGCAATTATTCCACGACAGCACGTTCTTAGCTATCACGTTACTATCAATAGGATATCTCCAAAGATATGACAATCCAGTTAATGCGACATGCTTTTAACCATGTTAATTATTTTATATTTAACAAGTGATGCAAAACATAAGATTTGTCACATTTTCAAAGATTTCAGGACAAATTTGAGAAAGCAGAACGGAAAAATAAATAAGCGAAATGGTATGAAGTATTAGGGAAGATTCACCAAGGAATCATTCTTCCTTGTCCTTGACTGATGTAATCACAAATTAGCATAAAGCATTAAACACCTCTAAGATTGAAAACATTACACTTGAAATATTGTAAAAGCACTTTGGGAAATGAAAAAGACATCTCCGGCTCATAAATGATGTCATCTGATGTGAAGCATGCTACAGTTTCATCAAAATGTATAAATGAGAAGAAGCAAACAAATGAAAATTAAAACAAGCAACAAAAATCGCCCGATATTTCCACAGCAATAATAAATTTTGAACCAAATTTCAATCAATATTTTTATTTGTTATTACATGCTATCTAACCACTTACATCTGAACGAGAATTCAAAATATTTTCAACTCATTACGGAACCTGAACTTTTTGTGAAAACCATTCATTATGAAAACTAGTGGTAAAGTACACATGAAAAAAGCTGCAGTGATAATTCATTTGGAACTGGATAAAAAAATACCCAGTAATGATAAACGGAAAAACCAAATCTTTAAACCTTTGAGTTGGCTAGCCGGAAAACTTCCCAGCAACTTTTTTTTTTTTTTACTAGACCAACGCGAAGTTACCAGTATTTTCAGATAAAATAATCAGATAGTACAGGCTCTGAGCAATGTTTTTCCTCATATCTTTTTGAAGTGAATAAATTCATTTCCTTCGAAAACTGATTGCGGCAAGTGTCGCAATTAATTTTTGATAGCAACTAAAGCATAATTTATCGACGTGTTTCGACTCCATGACCAATGATTCGTTAAAGGATTGTAAATCATGCCGTGCGATAAACGCAAACTACAACCATTTTCTTCCAAAATCATTCGAAGAAATTTCGGTTCAATAAATTTCGACCAATTATGGATACCAGGCGGAACAATGCCCAATACTCTCTGCAATAATTCATGTCAGTACCTTCAGTAACTATTTCATAGTTTTGTTTCAGTTCAACGGTAACTTTGAATTTAAAAAAGCGAATGGATGACCATTTCTATATGAAAAATCCACGAACACCTGAGATGTTTCCCAATGACTTATGTCAATTTTAGATTCTCTATCTTTCTCTAGACGATATTTATATTTTTCAGTGAAAATATAATTCAATATAAAACTAACCTCTGCCATCCAAACAGCCATCACTCGACTCGCTACAGTTTTATTGATAGTTGTGAAGAAGAGAGCACCGTTTTTGCGTACCAACTGAATGCATGATTCCACAAATAATTCCACATCAGCAACATGTTCGATTATTTCGGATGCGACAACTGCATCGAACACTTAAAAAAAAGAGGAAAAAAGTCATTTTGCTGACAGATAAGAAATGTCACCTAAAAAAGTTCCCACCCTCCTAAAATTAATGTTGGACAATTGAACAATAATGTCACTGAAGAGTAATTAAAGATGGCTAGGCATATTTCAAATGAAAAAAAGAAGGCAAGAGAGGAAAGAAAGAGACACAAAAAGTGACAATTTTAACTGTCAGAGAAAAAATAAACTAGTATGAGCAAATGCAGCATTATCACAAAAATCCCACAAAATGATTATGGATTTTATTCATGTACCTTACTTCCAGCATTTTCTGCAGCAAAGACTTCAACTGATGAACACTTAAACACTGCATTGCCTAATCCGCAATTTTCATGACGAAAACAATTTTCTGCTTCTACCGAAGCAATTACATCAACGGAGGCATCCACAGCCTTAACGTCTGCCCCCAATCGCGCCAATGGAAAAGTTAGTATCCCACCACCACATCCAATATCAGCAATGTGTAAACCCGAGAGAGATTCCTTAAATAAATCGTTCACATTGGAAGAAATAAAGCAGTTGGAGTATAGGATAAAAACAGAAAAGTTTATGAAGGGTTAAAAGTGCAACAACTTCGAAGAAAATCACAATTTAAAAAACGAAAAACTACATGGCCTTGTTCGGTTTTGCGACCAATCATATCAACAATTAACGGCAGCCTGAGTCGATTCATGGAATATAAAGCCTTAAAGGGTCCATTTTCCTTTATCCAATCGGGTGATAATTTTGCAAATGCCTTGATATCACTGCTATCAACCGAATTCTGCTTAGACTGAAGGCTCCTTGAATTAACCCAAAAGAGCTTCTTTCCTGAATTCAGAAGCAGGCGATGGAACTTATATGTACAACATGCACCTTTCCCAAGCTCAGCAAACATCTGAAGTTTATAAAGTTCAAGTTTCAAATCATACTGACCTCAATAAAGTTGATTAATCCGAAACATCTCTTCCCCCAATCGAAATCATCAATAAATCAAAGAAGTATGAAAATGGGTAACAACCAATATCAGCACAATAAACCGGATAATATAATTAAATATTTTACTATTCATAAATAAGCATAAAATTGTGACCATACAAACAATAGTGTGATTAAATGAGCACGATCTATCACTGATTAACAGCAGAATTAATTTTTGCTCCTAAGAAAAGTCGACAAGAAATCTTTAGGTTTCGCTTCAACATTTTCACGGAACAAATTATTTCGCAGATGGTAAGAGTTATACCAATGTTTCTGACAGGCCAACATCACCTGAAAACTTGTGAAACGTAATATATTTAAGCTTGAAATAACTTAAAGCACTATTTTGACGAACCTCATTTAAATCCATAACAGCTTCATAATTTTAGACTGTTATCCAGTTAAACAACTTTGTAAATGTTAGAAACAACTACGAATTTCAGGAAAAAAGTGTTTTACTTGACGGCATTCAGCAATCTTCCGATCAATAACACGAAAATCGGTCAAATGTGCGTTATTAATATATTGCTTTTTTAAAGCTGCTCGAAAAACGGACAACGGCATATCATCAAAATGGAACTGTTTGTAGAGTTTCGGAGCATAGCGTTGCCTAAAATAAACGAAAAGCTGAATGGAAAAAGAAATGCTATCTTTCGCTAGCTAAACTATTTTCACATACAATTAATAGCTCTCATGTCTTATTAAAACAAAAACCCATCAAATGTAAAAATCAACAAGAAATGATCAGAAAAATTGACTGTGTTATGTCATAATAATTTTCTATTTCTTTCTTTCTACAAAAAGAAAAAAATAAAAAAGTATTAAATAAACGATCAACCCTTAATTTTCAAAATAGACAAAACTGCTCGGGATAATTATCACATGTAAACAAGGTGTTATCGTCCCGCTGTTTTTCTATTAATAATACTTGTCATGGACAGAAATTATATCTGATATATTCTAATCGACGTTTTATGCTCAGTGCACTTTCAACCAAAATATCATAATATTACCTCTATTAATTATAAATGGAAATTTTTCTCAGAAAAATTGTACCTGTTGCCGAAAAAATTTTTAGATCTTTTTAAAAAATTAAACAGAAACGAGATTAATATTGCAAAATGTAGCAATCTTCAACTTTTTTCTTCTTTTTATTCATTTACGACTGCCCCCAAATTAACCTTTCGCAATAACCTTATTGAGTGACCAGACTGTTGTTACCAAACAGAATGTGTACTATCAATACATGCATATATATATATATATATATATATAAAGACGTGCACGTGCATACACATACACTATATGTATAATACAATGAGAACCTGTTACTGACTGATTGAAGGTCGATGCAATTTCAAATATATTTTCCCATAAAGCTTTTTTTATGCAACCAATTTTCTCACTTAAAAATTCGATGACAGACTATATATACACGAATCGGAATCATACATAACGTTTAAAAAAAAAAAACGACGATGCAGCTCCACATGTCTGAGTGAAGAAATACGGAAAACGAAACTAGATTAAAAAAAAAAAAAAACTAATCTATGGAAATTTACAACATACAAAGTGCTAATATAATGATGAAAAAAATGACCGTAAGGAAAAAAAAAGAAGATTCTGACGGAGTATTCAGTGAGTGAAACAAAACGACTGTCATCATCAGTAGGTCGGTCAATGTCAACGACCATCCACAAATTACACACTCATAAGAGGAACAGATATATCTGAGTTGAAATTAGTATTTCATTACAAAATCAAAAAAGGGAAAAATTAAAAATAAATTTTAAAAACAAGAACAAAAAGAATAAAATCTTATTTCAATTATAAAGAAGGGTTAACCATCACCAATCTCATATTGCCCATTTTCACAATATATTCATGCTTTAAAATAAGAAAATAAAAAAAACTGACGAAAAGGAAGCAAACACACATACACACATTTACATAGGCGATTATATAAGCTATCCTTCCTGAAAAAAGATGCTAGGCAAGCAATAGTGATAGCATTTAGGCAGTGCATTTCCCAACTCAAACATTAATATCCAAAATCGATCCAGCGCTTCTCGTCTAAGCCTGCACACATACATATAAATGCAAGAACGAGTCAAAGATAAAAACGATTACAATCATTGTGAGACAAGAATGGCTGCATTACTGCTACTACCTCTACTACTACTGTTACCACTCCGACTATTACACTATTGCTATCGCAAACATTTCAACAACATCAAGTATTTCACCGGTTTGAAATGATGACGATATTGTTTCTTCTACTATTTCATGTACGAAGAAGGAGGGTGGTAACAACGTGGACTAAAAGTTGGATAAAATATAAGCAGAAACAAAAAAAAAAAAAAAACATTTGCTAATACCATCTTTTATACTTTTCCCATTTTTTCTAACGAATATTATATGGTTACAAGAAGTAACTATCAATAAGAACAAATCAACAAATATGAACATGCTGAGATTAAAAAGGATCATAATGTTATGACAATTTAGAAAAAAACACAATCACCCCTTTCCACAACATTAAGCATAATTAACTTCTCAATAAGGGGACGCAGGAGAACTATAGCGATGTGTTTTGGAATACATGACATGGCCATGCCACAGAAATAACAAATTCTACATCTCTTTATCTTAACTAGTTTTTCCTGAACTACTTTGGAAGGTGAGGGAAGAAATATGTTTCATCTTACAAACAAAGAACTCCATTGCAGCAATAATTCTTAATTATATATAATGTGAAAATTATGGCAGATTACGGTATACCAAGCATGATAAGAAGCAGGAAATAAACACGCCTTCAGTTTCATATGAAAGAAAAAGATTTTTCTCCTTCCCTTTTTTGAGTATTCGGCCTGATGTTTTTATTTTTTCATTTAATAAATAGATATAAATATACCAGGAGCAATACAATGAAGACCGAATTAAGAAAACTGAAGCTTGAAGGATGGTGAAAAGTGGGAGGATGATAAAAGAGGAAAGGCGTGAATAAACACTCAAACCCATACATTTTTCTGTGAGAAACGTAAATCAGAATAAATGTTTCCGAAAAGCTGCTTAAATCGAATATGATATTACTCTAAACTTTAAGTGTTTTTCTAGTTTTTATTGCCCTAAGTTCGTTAGCTATGGTCCAAGCATGAAATGCACCATATTTTTAAGCAAGAGGCAGTATGATTTATTTATTCGTGGAGTTTGACCACACACTTCACAGAATCATTTATTCCTAAAGAAGCCAATAATACAACTGCCATCACTCTATCCAATCAATTCAGTTAGTAAGGCTACAGCACTCCAAAAAAAAAAATTTTGGAAACAGTAGAGTATAAGTAGATTTGTCTTTATTCGTATCCCTATGCTTTACCTTTCTACTTCATCCACTGCTTTATTATCTTTCATTAATAGCCAACCGGAATCTCTGTCCCTGTCATTTCTGGATATAGCGATATTAAACAAATACTTGTTCAAGAAAAAAGTAGTAAGTTCCTTAAAACAATCGATAAGTCAAGTGGTTCGTGTTATAGCAAGCACTTGGATGTGATCGTAACAATGCACGAAACGATATAAAGATATGCGACAGACATGGTGGAAGAAAGCAAGAAGTTTCAGATCCAAAAAATACCACTAACAGAAAGGTCAGTTTCTATGCCTCTATTGCGATAAAAGAATATGAAATGAACTAACATTTCTTTATATAAAGCAAGCACATTCGACCGGCTCTGTGCTTTATTGGCTGATACAATGGGAATAACTTCACGTGTAGTTGCTGTAGCAGTTCTTATCATACCTGTTGCCATTTTTGTTCAATTCAATGTTTCACCTCGCGATAACTGGTAATTACACAATTAATCAGGAAAAGGTATGATATGGTAAGCTAAACTGCCCTCAAAGATAATGCAGGAACCATTTATTTGAATAAAGAGTGTTAAGGTGAAATTGAAAAGCATGCAATCCTTTTTCCTACGATAAAGTTTAAGATAGAGACAAGCAGCAGAATGTAGTCACTGTTATGCAACTGGCCAAGAAATGCAAAGTACGAACTTACTCTGGCTTCAAGAAATTCCACTTTTCGTTCTAGTAGTGATACCTTATCACTAAGTGCTGCGATTCTGCTCCGACAAGACAGTTCTGAAATTAAGCATCCCAAAAAAATTTATCCCCAACTGTTATGTAACAAGCTTCGATCGTCCTTTTTTGTGTGAATAAATAACAATAAATAATTAAAGTGTGAATAAATAACAACTCGTTGTCTTTCAATACAACCTAGATCAAGTGTCATCTTCTAACTGTCTAATAAATAAATAGGTTGAATATTTCGTCGATGTGATAAATTTTGTAACTGATCATTTAGCCTTGTTTTTTTCAGAAAATACATAGTTGATGCTGGTAAAATTTTAAAAACGTACCAAAGTTACAGAGGAAATCCGCGATATGTCGAATGTTATCAGAAACTACCTGCGCGTATTCTCGATTATTCCAGTCTTCTCGCAATTGTCGCTGTACAAGTGTAACTTTTATATTACCTGCATTCATCCACTACCTTAAAGTCTCTCTTTCCTTTAAATCTGAAAAAAAAAAAAAAAAATTCCAATTACTTTCATAGCACTCTGTCGACATAACCATGCATTTATAGTAGTCAAGAACACTATTAGGCGTCTTACATCACTTTAATATTCGTAATACTTCATCCAAAAACGCGACTATTTCATAACCATCATCCGATTCTAATTATCAAACTTATTTCCACCTGAATATCTTCCACAAATAATTGGTACAATTTCTGCGAAATAAGCATATTATAAACGCTTCATGAAATGGATTGCATGTTTAGATACGTTAAGCTACCCATAAAACAACTGCAGTTCTCAAACTTCATGAAACAACCACGCGTGACAAAAGTATCAGTGCAAAAGGACGAGAGGAAAATCCTTTGAGCTGCATCATTGTAGCTTTGCATGTGCGCACTCATGCCTACCAATGTACATTGCGCCAATTTAAATCTCATAAATTCTGAAGTTTCAATTTAAATACGATCGATTGTTGCCCAGCGATCTTAAGACGTTTCCTTTTTTCCCTTCCTTTCTTTCTTTCTTTTTTCCCTCCAACATTGAAATATAAGAAGAGATGTCATGATGATTAGTTTCTTTTTTATATTCTTTTGGATTAAAATTCTGCAGATTCCCGTAAAATGTTCATATGAGTAAAATCCCAAAGGTGAACAAAGAAAAAGAAATCAAAAACGTCGAAAATTTGTATTATAAAAAAGAAGAAGAAAAAAAAAAAGGAATTTGGTGGAATATTTTAAAAGCAATTTCATATTATAAAAGTCTTTTCCTTCCTTAAAAAATTCTATAAAATTTTCATAAATTAATTCATAAATCTAATATCTAACAAAATAATTTTTAAAAAACAATGAAGCACAATCTTATTCCATTTCATTCATCTTCCCATCATCTGTTTCGTAAAATTTTTTCAAAAAAGAAAAAAAATGGTTTAAAAACTAAAAAAAGGAAAAATTATTATTATTTATTCTTCTTATTTATTATTATTATTTATTATCATTATCATTATTATTATTATTGTTATTATTATTATTATTTACTAGCATTATGAATTATTTTTTAATTATTATTAGATTATCGTTATTACTGTTATTCAACTATTTTATCTCTGATGTACTTATCAACTTTTTCTGTTTCGTTCCTTTTTCACTTCTCTTTTTATATTTCATCTATTTCTCTTTCATTCAAATAATACTCCGATTACAATGTGCTATTTCCTGTACACTTTTGTCCGCTTTCTCATCGATAAACTTTTAGCATTTAATGTGCTTTCTGTAAATTCTTGTAGTATTCGTATCTATCGTCTTTACTGATATGCTACTTTCATTGTTCTCAATCTCTAATATACCATATGCGTTGAGACCTTATTAATCTCTGAACCTCCAATAAAAGCACAGTATTTCTTGCGTGACTTAATGTTGGTAATGAAACGATACGTTATGAACTGGTTTAGATTGGCAGGAGCACAGCAGAGAATATAGTGATTTTCTACCTTTGCTTTTTTCATTTTGGATGGAAGTTACCACTGAACTTGCTCTTAAAATCTATCAAATATTCTGGAACTTCACCTGATTGTTTGGATTCTTATTTTGGTTCTTAAAATTAGCCTTTAGTATACTTTCTGATATGCATGTAGTTTCAGCTAGATCTAAGCTTCTAATCGCTTTTTGATTCCTAGATTGATAACCATTGTTTCCCGAATACATCTTTCTTTTTCCATTTCCACTAAAGTTATGGCTTTAATGTTTTTTTTTCTGATATCTGGTTGCCAAATGGTACTGTTACTGCTGATTGGTCTTATCCATGTTTTCATCGTCACCCATGCCGAATTACTTCAAGGTCTCTATTGTGGCACAGAAAACTGCTATGAAGGTCAAGTTTTATCTATTTTATCGTTTTTTTTTTTTCTGTCCATTAGTTGAAACACGGCAGATGCTTATAAATTTGTTATCGGTTGTATTTTATACTTCCAGTTCATTCTTTGCCAATACATTGAAGAATTCTTACATCACCCAGGGCAACATTGTCGAACGATCACGGTACAACTCTTATTAATCTTGACAAAATGAATACCTGAAATTCCTCCGCTATTCCGTACTTTTTTTACTGTTCGAACCCACCCGTCCTTAGGTTAACACCTGCACTAATTTTTCATTTCCTGTGATTCAATACAAGCATTCTTTATTTATTTATTTTAGTTCTAAATATTGATCGACCAGAGTTCAATAAGGTTTGTCGCTTTTATGTCTTTTTCGATATTTTTACTCCAAAATTATTTTTTCTTTTCAAAAATTTTTTCGATACTAGGATTTTGAGTTGGAACTGTGGATCAGTCTTATAGTTAATAGCTTGGTGTCCACAGATGTAAATAATACAAAATGAAAGTCTCCTATTGCTTATATGATGCTCTTTTCAGAATATGTTGGGAAGAACGTATCGAAAATTAGCGGCGCAGTATCATCCTGACAAAGTTACTGGTGTGAGTAGTCACAGCAGTTTTTCAAAGCAGAAATGGAATTTTCGTGTTTATCATTCACTGAATAATTAAATTAGTATTGGTTAATAATAACAGGCATTTATATGTTTTATTGATTTGCCTTATCTTTCATAGTAGCATCTACAATTTTAGGCTAAGAAAAAAGAAGCGGAAGAAAAATTCCGTCAAATTGCAACCGCTTATGAGACTCTGAAGGATGATGAGACACGAGCTGATTATGATTATTATTTGGATCATCCGGAACAAAGAGCTTATAACTATTACCAGTATTATCGCAGACGGGTAGCTCCAAAAGTGGATGCACGAATTGTTGTTTTGGTTACTTTGGTACTTATATCTACCATTCAGGTATGTTTTAATATTTTTCTCTTCGTACCACGAGTATTTGAATTTGAGAAGTAGTCAATAAAAAAACTTAAGCTTATTGGAGTAATGTTTTTCATTGGTGCCTTTAAGACCGCCCACGTTTCACATTTTTATATAAGATTTATGCAAATTTTCGCTTAAGATTTAGAGATTATGATTAGCGTCCTAAGTTTATATATTTTAGTTTCTAAGTGCAGCACAAAAACATAAGGAAGCACTTGATTATGCTGTGAAACAAGAAAAATATCGTAATGCAGCGAAAGAAATTGCCAAGGAAAGAGGAATTCCTCTGCAAGGTGACTTTCGTAACAAAAAGTCGCGGAAAGAATATGCCGAACAGGTCCTGCGGCAGATTATTGAAGAAAATGTGGATATCAGGTAAGATTTTAAAAATCACGGATTTAGTTTGCAGTTCCCACTTATGGTTGTTGCACGATAGTACAATAGTCCTAGATTTACCATTCAGGATTACGTGGTTCGTTTATGAGCTTTTTCTCTTTGGAGATAAATTTATATAGAGAGACTTAGTTAGTTATGTGACATGTTATAGGTTGCTCTCAACGGGTCACATTTGAAGATACACTCCACTGAATGGTTTTCCGGTTGCAGAGGTGGATATAAGAAGCCATCGATATATAATACATTGCTGTGGACGATTATTGTGTTGCCTTATACAGTATACAGGTAATTTTACATATTTATTCATGTTAACTATGGAATGATGTCACGGTTGATTCTGCGAAATTCAAAAATTCTGAAGAGCAGCTACCGGAATTAACTCGAACTTTTTCAAGCGGAACTTGAAGGTTAGTCACAGTGATAGAAATGCTTCAGGTATGTTGCTTGGAACTTCTCATGGTTCATAAAATATCATGTGAAGAAAGAAGATTATGATGACGATGCGAAGTCTTATCTGATACGAAGAAATATGAGTCTTTCTGAAGAACAGTTTGCAGTAAGCTCTCCTCATATAATTTATTACTCATCGTAGCCTTATAGGCATATTTAAATAAGTCACTTTTTTGTTGAGCATATTCTTTATAACGATATTTCAGAGTTTCAGTGACAGTGAACGATTATCTTTGTTCAAAAATGAGTTATGGGATCGAGCGAAATTTACGGAGTGGAAGGCTGCAAAAGAAGATGAACAAAAGGAACGTTTGGCCGCTAGTGGGCGGTACAAACGATATCGAAGATACATCAAGAATCAAAACACTCTTCCCCTTAGTTTTATGGAATAAAAATAAATACTTGAAATGTTACTGTTCTGTCAATTTATGAGATGATCGGGGAACGAAATAAAATCAATGTCAGTAAATGTTAGTATAGCGTCAGGTAAGAAATGAAGACTAGTAGCATGATGTGCTATCTCTTGCACCTATAACTGCCCTAAATCCAGTAGCTGTGCGATAAGAGAGGCGAATCGAAGTAATTTTGGGAATTTGCTTTTAATTTTGCTTTATTGACCACTCAGCAAACACATAATTGGTGAAATACCTGTACTGCCGATATCAATAAAAGTCGGACATCAAAGCAAGCATGGAGTGGCGGTCTACTGTGGCTGAAGTAATTTAATGTAGGCGGTGTTTAAATATTGGTCGCTGATTTCCAAGAAGCCGAAACATTGGACCTTCCTGGTGCCATTCGGACATCATGGTGGGTGACAGATTTGGTGTAGTATAAAATTCGATGGAAGAGATGTGACCCTCTCCCATCAGATTTCATACCCGGTTCGCAGAGCTTCATACAACTTTTTACAAAAGGTGCATACATCTCTTGGATATGTATTATGCACTTATGTTGCTGTATGTCAGATAATCCAAAGGAAAACTTTGTTTAATAAAAGGGAGCAAAACTTACCGACAATCGATATCAGCATACATTACAATTACATACGAAAAAAAAAAAAAAAAAAAAAAAAAAAAAACAATGAGGGGAAGAGAAGATAATGCAACGTGGTCGATCGATCACAATTCCGGCGCCAATCGTTCCAGCTTACTTTTTGGCAAAGCGCAATCAATTCCCACTTTTCTTCACACGAATAACAAATTCTGACAGTGATAATGGAGGAAACAGGATTCCTCTGAAAATAAAAATACTGCTGGCGAAAATCAGTGAACAAAACTTTACGAACTAAGCTGCAGATACTTACTTCAGTACAGTTTCGATCGTAATAAACTTCAGAAGGAAATAAAAAAGTAAAATATTATACTTCGAACAGTAAACTTACTTGTCAATCTCCCATCCTACGGCACAACTTGTGAATGCAGAAAACCAAATACGTAATCCACAAAATCCGCTTCCAAGTCCTTCAGGTATAAGGATTCAGAGGTATAAGGAATTCAGAGCCCGAGCATCCCAACCTCTCCACTTTTGAGGACACAACAATAAAGTTCTATCACAAATTAATTGTGAAGATATTGACATTAACTGTCGCAAAATATTAAACTCACAGAAAAAAGCTGCCAAAGACCCGCAGCAGCTGCTGAAACCTTGAAGACAATGGGAGTGCCAAAAACGTACAGGAAATGTTTTATAACCTTTTTTTGATGATCAAGAAAACACTACCCACCTGCTTCCAGGACTAACCTTTACAATTAAAACTGTGTGACACGGTCGGAAACTGTCGTTTCAGCTCTTTCTAAAGGTTCCACAACGCAGAGCTTATGATGAATTTATGCAAAGAAACTATGTAGGAAATCAAGTGACCTACTTATAAACTATTAAAAACTGCCTTTAAACTTATCGCACAAAATAGTTTTAATCAGATATGTCTTGAAAAAGATGGAGAGAAAACTTACCTTACAAAATTTCGAGTTCACTACCAATCAGATGAATCCCTTACTGATTGCTAACCGTTCCTCCTGGAAGAAATATCCTGTGTTATCCGAGGAAGTCAAATAATTTAACCAAGAAAAAATAAATTTGCTTTCTGAATACGGTACAATCAGAAATCTTTAAAGACTTCAACTCTGTATAAAATAACATACCAAAGATATATCTTCGTCTGGATGCATAATGTGTATTTTTGCCCCCAGTCTTTGGATATGATTTGGCATTTCCCGCATCCGCTCCGGTTCTGCACTTTTACTAGAAGAAGGGTCACTATAGGCTGGAAAAGCTGCTGGTACAGTAGGTGTAGGCTGTGTATTGATTGTCCCCGGACCAGGAATTCCGGGTACTCCTATCGGCCCATTCGGTAGCGGTACCCGAGAGGGTAAATTTACGCTGCAATGAACTCTCGATTATATACTGAAATACTTTTAAGCAGGCATACAGAAAATAACGAAGCAGCTGGTGCTAATTAATGCAATTAATCCACCAATTCAGTATTTCGAAAGGTTCCGAGTGTAATGCAAACACTGGCAAATTCTCTCAGAGGCAGGAACAGTAGGTAACCGTAAGAGTTTGGACTAATAATCAAGAAATCCGATGAACTGAGATTATGAAAGGAGTTAAACAAATCTTATCCATGTGCTCAGTCAGTGCTATCTCCCACCACTCTTATCTTCCTATCATCCCAAACAATAAGAAATGGTAACAAGTTCCTCTGCAACATGTAATACGCGAGATTATTAAAACCTACAAACTTCTCCAGGATTATATATATATATATATATTCTAGCAAATGAGGAATACTATTTAATCACACTTCATTTGTGAATGACTATAATCGAAGACAATGCTGGCACAATATCTAATTTCAGCTGCTTTCTCGTTACCACTTATGAAATATAATTTATCTGTCATAATCTGCTACTAAATCAGTTAAAAATAACTAGGTTATCCAGCAGCAGTCTAAAAAGACCTATTAAAAGCCGTGAAAAAAAAAAAATAAAAACAGGGACCTTGTGAGTGCAGGTTGAGCACTACCTGGAGGCATGACCGGAAGTGGCGGGAGAGCTCTTGGCGGTGCCGGCACTCCTGGCATAAATGGAGGCCCGAATGGTGGCATTCCTGAAGGTGGGAGAGGTGGAAAACCGGGAATCATAGGTGGTATACCTGAAACACAACACGAATTTTTGAAATAGGAAAGTCAATTGATATATGAAATTACTTTCTCCTTTATTTTCCTTTGGTTTTTTAAATTTTTGATCGGATTTTATCACGTCCCGAAACGTATGAGATTAATACGATTAAAAAAATCAATTTACCTGGAGGTAGCATTGGAAATGGCGCTATAAGAGGAGGCACTGGAGCAGCTGTATTCTTCGACTCCTTCTTCGCACTTTCCTCTACAAGAAAAAGCTCCATTATTTTTTGGGAAAAACATCAAACTGGAAGACCAGTCAGGAGAGTTAAAACATTTACAATAAACGGAAAGTTTCCGGACCTTGAGCATCATCGGGAATACCTTCCATGCCATAAACTTCCACTTCAACTGAATCTTTACCAGGTAAGGCAGCAGGAATCTTATCTATCGTTTCTTTGTGCACCTTAAAAATGAGCAAACTTCAGGAATGGTAAACATAATGAGCCCGAAGCGATAACACATGCAAAAAAAAGATTAAAACAAAAAATTCTGCTTGTTCAAATTCAACTAATTGGACCTGCATGCAATGGATGGCTAATCCAGGTCCTGTGAAAAGCTTTTTGTGACAAATATGACATTTAAAATGTTTTGCTTTTTGGTGCTGAATTAAAATTTTCTCATCTTCGAATTCGCGATTGCAGTACCTGCAACAGAATAAACAGAAACCATATATTCTATGTAATAGTACTAACCCAAACATTAGATCTTTTAGAAAAGAAAAAAAAAATACGATTTCAGGAGATGGCCGCACTGAACATTACATTAAGTAGCATAAAAATCTCTGAAAAGATTCACTAAAACATATCGTTAAAATAACAGATTAAAACTACCAGTGAACTTTGACAATTATACTTTACGTAGGATTTCTCACAGAATTGAATCTTATCCATCCATATCTTTCATATCGCTTTCATTTACTTTACGACATCCCTGTCGAATTTTATTCTACACTGGCTTATACTAACTAATAACTCAACAACTAGTTATATTTTCTTATTAATCATATACTTACGCTGTCAATTTATACTTACAAATTCGAGGAAAAATAAAGGAAAGAGAATAGTGAAAGAAAAAAAAAACAACATTTGGTACTAAAGATTTGATGTGCTTAATCCTATGCTGAACTCTTTAATCAATCAGACAAACTTAAAACCTAACTAAAATCTTACCTTAAAGAAATAGGCAAAGTTACTACACATATATCCCTACATATATGAATTTAAACAAAGCTATCTCAACAGGCCTTTGTTTTTCAGCAGAAAGAAAGCCAAGCATTTTGAATTCTTCCATAAACATTAAAATAGCTTACCAACACCAAGGCTTGGCGGCACGCTTTTTTTTCCGACCCATATCTTCGATAATAAGCAGTTAGCACCAGAAAGAACAGCTTACCAAAAATTTTTTTTTCCTCAATGAAACAAAAAGCAATCCTGAAAAGAAAAGAAACCCCACAAATGATGCCACAAAAAAAGTAGGCTCTTGGATAATTTCAAATGATGATACAATTTCAAACTGTTAACACCTTAGAATTTTCTTCTCTCCTCCAAACAACCCATATTACTTTAATTACCCCTAAATAATCATCAGCTCCAGACAACGTTAACCATCATTGATCATTAAGGGATACTGCCACATCACAATGAAACTAAAAGACGCAATAAGAAAAAAGGAAAAGAAAATACCACCAATTTCACTTGCGCCTTCAATTGTATGCAAAGCGCAGGAAACAATTGGCAAATCTAAGCACACAGATCAAAGCATAAACAATTTGGTGTAGATACATTTTTTGACTATGCACCATATAATCGTTATCGATCTTTACATCTCCTCATTTACACCACTCCTTTCCCTTCTCAATCATTTCTTCCTTCTAATCTCTCAAATACTAAGCTCTTTTGTCGACCTCCCCATTCTTCACCCTCTCACAAATCCCTGAGCTATTTCGCATTCTCGATACCTAATGCCTCACAGTTTATACCTCCAACACAGTTGTTCGGAATAGGTTAAAAATCGATACGCCACGCATGGTATCACAAATGAGACGGTATGAAATTCATATGGATCTGAAAAGCGAAGGCTCTTTCCATGTAATGTATGTAATTTGCATCTTGTTTGCTGTGTGGTGGGTGGCACGTGAAGTGGCCGTGTTATTCATTGCACTTTATGGCGGCTTGCATTCATGGATTAATTTTTGAAAAGAGTGTTTGGCTTGCATAGTTTTCGCCAATAAACTAATAAATCTTGATGCTGATGTTTGACCTAGTCATCTTTTTTTTTTGTATTACTGATCTATGTAAGTTTGGTTATGGAACTGATTGATAATAAATAGGCAATTAAGGTACAATCAATGTGATTGGCTATCAGGGAGATAGTCAGTTATGTAATGGATAGTAAGTCAGTCAGTAAGTATTTAAACGATCATTTCTCTATAGTTAATATCAAATTTTTTTTTTTTTTCAAATAAGCATTGATGTCAGGCCGAGAGATGTTGAATAAACAAGCAAAACAGTCCCGTGAACTTACTGAGCACTCATTACGTAGAAATGTAAATTATCACGGACAGTAAGTAGCAGTAATTATGGATGAATTTTTATAGTAATGACAAATAATGCCGTGTCATCAACTGTTACTGCTTTGCTGAATCGAGCTAAAGCAAAATATGTGGATACGGCGAAGATTGACATACTGTCAGCTTTAAGTGGTTTTCCTGATCTCACACCAAACGTTGAAGATTTCATTTACCCTAACAAGACGTGTACGCTTGCATTTTGTCTGAAGGGCACTATTCCTGTTTTTTATAAGGTTTGTTTTCTTTTAAGATCGTACCTTGTTTTGCGGACAGATAATCGTTTTATTCTTCCCATGTGACATGCATTTTAGTATTATACTTTGTTATATGTTATTTCGATCTCTTTCCTCTTCTTCCATTTATATTTCCTAGACATTTTGTTCATTTGGATTTTGTTTGTCGGACAAACAAAACAAGTGCAAGTGTGCTCTCAAATTTCCATTTATATAGTGTTTTTGTTAATTTAAGGAAATTTTTTCTCAGGGTAAAACATACAACATACCAGTAGCTTTATATCTCTGGGACACTCACCCTTATTATGCGCCAATATGTTACGTGTGTCCAACACCGAACATGGTGCTGAAGGAATCAAGAACGGTGGATGACCTTGGACGCATCTCTTTGCCGTACCTTAGTGACTGGACTTTCCCAGGATATGATTTAAGCGGCTTATTACAGGTAATTTTTCCACGTACGAAAGTCAGTTGTTTTGCAAATGAAAAAAGTACTGGTCTTAATATGAAATTCATAACATTTGTATGTTTTTAGGTTATGGCAATGTGCTTCCAAGATTCCTGCCCCGTCTTTGCGAGGCCTGGCAGCAATTCACATGTATCAGCTGTTGGATCGGTATGGGATCGGTCTGCTGGTCAAATTCAAAGTTACATACCATATCCAGTTTCTAATACATCTGGAGTACCGCCGTATCCAACGTCATTTACTTCTTATTATCCTTCGATGCCATCTTTCAATGATAATGTTAGCAGTGGCACAGTTCAACCGGAACACTTGAAAGCATCGGTGATGAGTGCTGTTGAACACAAAATTAGACAGCGCCTTCGCGAAAAATTAGGTATCCTTTCAATTGTTAATGGAAATATTTGTGCTTTTTTGCGCTGAGTTTTGAAAAATTCTGTTTAGTGTGTTATCAAAAGTTCTAAATTTGATACTTGACATGTTCTTGTGTTTTACATCACCTTCTGTTTCTCTAGCTAGGTTTGCAGCCTTTTAAATAGATTTATAGGAACAATGCATGCGGAATTAGCCTCAATAAGACAAACTCATGCAGATTTACGTGCCGGCCAACAGAAGCTCAAAGTTATTTTGGACGATTTAGCGCAAGAACAAAAACGGATGGAGGGCGCACTGATTGTGTATCAGGTACTTATGCCGTTTATATGGGCTTTTATCTGTTTTCGCGTTTCCGAAAATTCGTTTAAGTATCTTTCGCTGAATTTTTTTTTTTTTTTTCATTGATTGTGAGAATAGCCTTGATTTTTAGGAAAAGAAAGCCGAAATTAGCTCTGTTTTATCAACGTCGTCCCCGGAAAAAAGTGTTGAAATTGATCAGGTGATTGATGCTTGTACGCCCTTGCACAAACAGGTTAGTTTTTTCGAAAGCTAAAAGATCTGTAGTAAACTATGTAGTAATTCAATTTTTCACCTTAAATGGTTAGAAAAATCAAAATTAAAATTTGAATTAGAAAAGTGACAATCATTCCAAGCATGTGATCAGGGAAAATTTCTTTTATTTTTCAAAATTTGTTACGTTGAAAGTAACCTCTAGTCGCATTGTTAACGGTAGATTTATAAACCTATTGCAGTTACTGTGTTGCTACGTTTATGACTGTGCTATCGACGATGCTATCTATTTCCTTGGTCAAGCGCTAAGTCGTGGTCGCATCAGTTTAACAAATTATTTGAAAGAAGTACGTCAGCTTTCACGCCGGCAGTTTATTTATCGTGCAACGCTTCAGAAATGCCGCATTAAAGCGAAAATGCCAGTATAAGACTGACTTTTTTTTTGTCTGTCGTTTAACGTAATGTTTTTTTCCCTCCCATATCGAAATGTTTTTCATTGTGAAGGAAGGAAAAGGATGTTCGTGTGTGAATATATGGTTTTTGAAATCCCTATTCTGTTAGGTAAATTTCAGACTAATTGATCGATTATTTATATTGATACGACTTCACAGTTTTTTATAAGTGTTTCGATGCTGTGTTATGCATGCTTTTCGGTGCATTTTTCTACATGAAATGGAAGTTGCTATATCTTTTTTTATTTCATTTTCCTCTTTGCACTGATATCATTTACCTCTGGGCGGAATTAGTTCTTTTTCTTACCAAACAGAAATGTTAGGTTTTTTAAAATATGGCAAGGTCTTGTTCTAGCTTCAAAATAACATTTAATTGAAGCCAATATTCGATGAAAAATATTATGCAGGTATGATTTGTTTCTGAAACGTTTTATTTTAATGTTTAGGAAAATTTGTTACATAATGTTAGTAAGGCCACACAATGCTGCCTTCAATTAAATAATTTGGAAAAATATATGGGAAAAAATCTGATGTTTTCTAGAGTGGGTTATTGGTTTTGTAATAGCGAAATCAAAATTCGTTCCTTCGTGAATTGTTCGTTTATGTGTTCTGTAATAATGATGAGTTGAAATTGATGATTAGATTTCAGATTCATAAAATGTAGTTTTTCGTTTTTTTTTTTTCTTTTTTTATTGGAATTTATGAATTTTATACCCATTGATGTTCATTATATAAATTATGTTGAGTGTATAGGAGCATCTCTGTTAGTATGAAGTCAGTGCATCGGTACTGAAGTGGTCATCGTTATTATGCTTTCTGTATTTTATTGCATATAAAATTTTGCTAACATCTTTTTTTATCAACAGAGTTTTATTCATGTGATGATAAAGTAAGAATTCATAAAGTCTGTTTGCCCATATCTTTGGGGATTTTTTCAACCTTATTACTGTCTCTACAGAAAATATCTGTTATTTATAGCTTTTTTTTTTTCGGACGGAAATTTGGAGATCAAGCTACTTTCTCATGAGAAATATTTTTAAGATCATTAATAATAATAATGATAATAACCAATCTCTCCCCAAACACTGGTCACATTGATCGTCTATACACCATTAATGTGTTGTGGCGAAGTAAATGATTCATTAAGTACCATTGTGCATGGTACTTATTAATATCTATTGTGCATGGTGTATGTAAAACACGCATTAGTTATGTGCCTGTATGCAGGGTGTATGTATGACATGGACGGTAAAATTATGCACATCTTTAAGGAGTTGATTTATATGGAATTCTGTTTTCCGATATTTTGTAACTTAATATAACCTACATATAACATGTTCTCTAGTCTATGGTCTTATTACTACTATATTAGTGCTAATGCTAGTACTAATGTTTGTGCTTGTGCTAAGATGCCTTTCATAGCGACTGGATTGTGGCAATATATAAATCTGTTCCGGGAAAGAATAGTCGATTCAGTGCATTTAGCTTACATAAAGTCATGTGTATTCTCGATTCTCGATTTGCTCAAACCCTTCTTTTTCTTATCTTACATAGATTTCATTCATGCTTTTTCTCCCTTGTCTCTCCCGCGTTTCATTGTGTCTTTACAAGAAGAAAAATATGGAAGGAAAGAAGGAAGGGAAGAGGGAAAGAAAGGAAAGGATCGAATTGTGGTGGAATAAAAAAAGAGATTTTTTTTTTTTTTTCAGGAATGTTATAATATTTAATCCATTTTAATTCTTTCAATT